ACTTACTGAGAGACAGAGACTGAGAAAGACACAGACTCATACAGATAAAGAGAGGCATACAGATAAAGAGAAGGATAAAGAAATATACAGATACAAACAGAGAGCAGAAAGACAGAGACATACAGAGATAAAGAAGGATAAACACATACATGTACAAACAGGCAGAGACATAGAAGGAAAGACTGAGAGAGACATACAGAGATAAATAAGGATAAACACATATACAAGAACAGGCAGATAAACAAAAACTGACAGCGATACACATAGAGACAAGATCGGTTAAAGACATACACAGATACAAACAGAGCGTCATACAAAGAAAGACTGACAGCGATACACATAGAGACAAGATCGGTTAAAGACATACACAGATACAAACAGAGCGTCATACAAAGAAAGACTGACAGCGATACACATAGAGACAAGATCGGTTAAAGACATACACAGATACAAACAGAGCGTCATACAAGGAAAGACTGACAGCGATACACATAGAGACAAGATCGGTTAAAGACATACACAGATACAAACAGAGCGTCATACAAAGAAAGACTGACAGCGATACACATAGAGACAAGATCGGTTAAAGACATACACAGATACAAACAGAGCGTCATACAAGGAAAGACTGACAGCGATACACATAGAGACAAGATCGGTTAAAGACATACACAGATACAAACAGAGCGTCATACAAAGAAAGACTGACAGCGATACACATAGAGACAAGATCGGTTAAAGACATACACAGATACAAACAGAGCGTCATACAAGGAAAGACTGACAGCGACACACATACACAAGATCGGTTAAAGACATACACAGATACAAACAGAGCGTCATACAAACAAAGACTGACAGCAATACACATAGAGACAACATCAGTTAAAGACATACACAGATACAAACAGAGCGTCATACAAACAAAGACTGACAGCGACACACATACACAAGATCGGTTAAAGACATACACAGATACAAACAGAGCGTCATACAAAGAAAGACTGACAGCGATACACATAGAGACAACATCAGTTAAAGACATACACAGATACAAACAGAGCGTCATACAAGGAAAGACTGACAGCGATACACATAGAGACAACATCAGTTAAAGACATACACAGATACAAACAGAGCGTCATACAAGGAAAGACTGACAGCGATACACATAGAGACAACATCAGTTAAAGACATACACAGATACAAACAGAGCGTCATACAAAGAAAAAGGCAAAGATGATCAGAAAGCGAAAGACACAACCCGAAACAGAGAAAGATAGATACAGATTCAGACAGACAGAAAGAAAGACATAAACAAACAGACAGACAGACAGAGACAGACACGGACAGATACAGACCTACAGATCAAGACATGCATGATAAGATTCCGAATAAGCGAAACAGACAGATAAAAGAAATGAATGAAAACGAACAAAATGAATTACAAACTAGAGAAATGACACATAAATTATTGTTAAAAATATTTTAATCAAATCACATGCAACACACAGTTTTCAATACTTGTACATCTGCTGCCACACCACCGTAAACACCATGTCAATCAGATCAATCTTTCACGTTTTACTCTAATGGGTCCAAGTAGGCGTGCTGGGCGTGAAACACGTCATTTACGCCGCCGATATGGTGACAGGTGGAGTGGTCCACTTTGCACGAGGGGCAAATCCGGGTCACACCCATAGAACAATGCGTTGCGTGTTCAGACGCAACGGGAGTGGGTGAGTGAGTCAAGTTTTGTGCCGCTTTTAGCACTATTCCAGCACTATCACGGCCGGGGACACCGGAAATGGGCTTCACACATTGCACCCAAGTGGGGAATCTTCCTCGTGACGAGCGAACGCTTTAACCATTAGGCTACCCCAACGCCCCTCAGACGCACAGGAAACACTGAAGACATGCAATATGTTTTCCTGACACAACTGTCTTCTTTCTGTTACTTAATATATACGAGATTATGAAATACGAAGCTTGATATGTACCCAATCCGCCACCACAACCACCACCACGACAACAACAACGGATAATGTGTATTTGAAAGCTTATATTGTTTAAAGCCGCAGTCAGCAAAATTCGTTTATGGCAATCTATGAGTCATCGAGTTTAAAACCGAAAACCAGTGATTGAAAGTATGAGCATCAATCTATAGATGCGTTGACGTGTTGAAACCACTGAATCCTCATTTACATTCAGCTCTTACCACCAATACCCGTGAAGGTCCGGGCTAGAATGTGTCTTCAGTAACCCATGCTTGTCGTAAGAGGCGACTAACGGGATTGGGTTGTCAGGCTCGCTGACTTGGTTAACATATGTCATCGGTTCCCAATTGCGCAGATCGATGCTCATGTTGTTGATCACTGGATTGTCTGGTCCAGACTCGATTATTTACAGACCACCGCCATATAGCTGGCATATTGCTGAGTGCGGCGTAAAACTAAACTCACTCACTCACTCACTCACTCTTACCACCAAGGGACGTCTAACCCGGAAGTTCCTTGTTTTTCTTTCAGGAATGAATTACAGCTTTAGTTACCAGCAGGAATGAGTTCTAGAAGTCAAAGCAAATTTACATCAATGTAATTCCGCGGGCCAAAGCCATATACTGCTTCTCGGAAATCATACCTTGAATAGGAGATCAAATTTTGATCAGAGCAAGGGGTGATCAGATCGATCGTTCCTTTTAACAAGAATGTTGATTTTGACTTGAACAGGCGTTATTGGCTTGAATCGAAACGACGCATGCACAAGAAATCAGTTGGATTGTAGAGAGAGAGTCACACGGATGTGTCTGGATAAAGTTGATTTAAACAATATTTATTCAATATAAATGAAAAGTGAGGCAAACCGCTCCATCGGATAAACATGCTCGTTCTTGAGAGAACAAATATTGTCAGTGAAAGTTAAATGGAAATTTCAAATTCTGCACACCTTGGCATTACTTCACTGCGCCAAAGTTTCAATTCCTGTAAAACTATGCAATTAGCTGTGTTCATATATGTACTTTGTATATGCACGTTAATTTGCTAAAGAAGTAATATATATATCTCTTTTGACTAGATCAATTATTAACGATATGGTAAGGTTCTCTTTATTTCTGTTTGACTTTTATTATGTCATACCATATCGTACACTACCGGACAAAAGAAGCCTACACTTGAAACTTGGATTTGAACAGGTTATTAAAACGTACTGAGCTGATAGTTTTTTGTCTACAAACTTTTTAAAAGTATTTGATTTATAGAACGCTTGACAACGGTACAAGTATTTTTATCGAAACGTTGCACTCACGAAAAAAGTTGTTATCCATAACATTTGTGTACATTGTGCATCCAAATTTATATTGTATATCCAACTTCTAAAATGCCACTCAGAGAAGGTATTTGATTGATATTTACTACATCTGACACTCATTGACATATATTTTACATATGTTGTTTACCGATACAAACTCCACATTACTATTATTCAACATTAATTATTACAATACTTTATGTATTGCATTATTTTAAACAGTGTATGACAGTATTCTTTGCTCAATAGACATGACCTGTCCCCTCGATGTTCAAATGTGAGCGAAGCATGGATTATGGAGCATGGGAGGTAACTCTGTAGGCGTAGTTGTATGCTGTGGTTTCATCTGCAGCTTGTCGAGAGAGGTTCGAGCATCGATTTTGAATTAACATTTTACAGTATTTGTAAAAAAATGTGCTGGATATGCAGCAGATATTCCATTTGCTACTTTTTAATTTTAAAAGGGAGAATTTGAATATATTACTGATTAGAGAAATGTAGCGAGGGAATGTTTACTGTATTTTCCAAGTGAACCATATTGAGATAAAATAATTAGTTATCGTGATTGAGGGAAGAACTTCTGTTTATTGTCTAGGCAGATACCCACATGTCAATTCAACCAAAAACGTATTTTTGATATGCGAAGTGATGTAAAACAGTAATGATTAATGTTTCATTACTGAGATGCTATCGATGTCAATATTTGTCTTTCATTCAAAGTGCCATCGATGTATTGGCGCATATTCACGCATAACTGCTATGCTCCGATAGTTTAATTAATTGCTCATACACTACTGAACAAAAAAATACTATTTACAAGTTACACGTGGAGACCCGGTTTAGAATTGGTCTTCGGTAACCCATGCTTGTCGTACGACCAACGGGATCGGGTGGTCAGGCTCGCTGACTTGGTTCACACATCTCATCGTATCCCCATGGCGTAGAACGATGCTCATGATGTTGATCACTGGATTGTCTTGTCTAGACACGAATTATTTATAAACCGACTCCGTATAGCTGGAATACTGCTGAGTGCGGGCGTTAAACAACAAACCAAACCAAAACCAAATCGTTACAAGTAACTCAGACCGGCCGGGTGACGGTCGGTTTGTTAGTAAAAAATGCAACATTGACGGAAATCAAATATATTATTAAATAAATATAAACTTTCGGTCCAGGGTAATTATAGATACGCTGATTGACTTCAAAAACATACGCCTGCTTACCTGAAATATAACATTGTTACATAGGCGGATGGTGGTGGTGGTGGTGAGTGTGAGTGTGTGTGTCCCCACCCACTAACACACACACACACACACACACACTGGATCCGCCAATGTTGTTATATGAGTTGTCACATCCTTTCATTCTTGACTTAATTACTGCATGAATGGTTGCAGTATTTATTTTTAAAATAAAGTGTAACATTATCGCTTTTTGCGATAAATACTAAAGTTTAAAACATCTATAAAAACGGCTACAAAACAACTGTGTTACTTCGTTTATCCATTTTCCATGTATGTGTCAACGAATGTTTGCGACATGTGCCATTATCCATCTTATTCATAATACATAACATTAAATAGTTTAAAGTGAAATACAACTAAGGTATAAGGCAAGATAATATCACATCTGTGGCACAGACACTTTATGTTTGTGAACTCAGCCACATTATTTTTACGACATGCCGCTTTCCGGCGCCGACAAGCATGGCGTCTATCGAGAAAGCATTGAACTTGATTAAACAGTTGCCGAGAGTCAGCCTGGGCAACATTCGCGATCTACCTGGATCAAGGAAACCGGTACTGACATTTGATAATCTCACTCTCCCTAATTGCTATACCGTATCCAACCATGTCTTTTTGGCGATTTGTATGACTTCGTATGTCCTTGAGTTCAATCCCTCCAAAGAAAAGGGACAATATTTATTATTTGGGTTAATAAAGTATAGGATGCACAGTCTAATTTGATCCATACATACTCGGGCTGTCTTCGGAAGGGGGCAAAGGGAGTCTTCTTGCTGGTTAGTTCGGCTTCATCCTCTGATTTCGGACATTGTCGGACCTAGTACAGGAGACATGATGTACTTGCCACGTAAGTGTAGCGGACATAAAATGTCTTGAGTCCTATGATGAGATTTGAACCACTAACCATCTCATCCGAAATTGGCCGCCTTCTCCAGATAATCAGGATAAACATGTAAACACAGGTTAAAACTGTCAGCAAACAGAAAAGGTAATGATGACATCTGGAGACTGACACCAATCCTCGTAAGCCTTAGGAGCTGCTTGGTACTGTGCATATTTATTTCTTATACATCCCTGTTGTAAGACATGAGAGAGATGTAACCCTGCACCATAGCCAAAGTAAGAACACATATAACTCTAATTTTATTTAGAAATGAAGCTTAGAGCTTTTTCCGTGCTAATAGACTAAAAAGGTTTTGTAGAAACTGTAAATAAAGAACACTTGACTATTTGTTATAGATGCAAGTAAGTGTAAATACCAAATGGTGGTAATAGGAATAGAGATTCATTATTGTCATGATCATTGGCTTATCAGGTTTTAGTCTGATTATTCATGCTAGCGAGTAGGTTTTAAAGATGAAGCTACCCATCAGTTCACAGATGCTCAATAGGTTTCCGTATCTGTTCAAAATAACACACTAAATTACTTGCTTCTCTTTCAATTAACCTCCAGCTTATTTGTCAGGTAAACATGGTAAATATTGAAAAATGTGCTGTAATTAACATTTTGAGTCTATCACTAAGAATAGCCTAAAAGGAAGGAAAACAATATATGGATGAATAACTTCTTTATTGCAATGGGAGTAAGTGATTCATGATATTGTTGTCCTTGCATTAGTGCTCCAACTTCTAAATGTCTCTCAAAAGAAGGTAGGGTTGGTGGGGTAGCCTAGTGGTTAAAGCGTGCACTTGTTATGCCAAAGACCCAGCTTCGATTCCTTACATGGGTACATTGTTTGAACCCTGCCATGATATTGCTGGAATATTGCTGAAAGCGGTTTGAAACTAAACTCACTCACTCAAGAAAGTTAAGAACAAACTTTTCATTTTGAACCTGCTCTGAATTATTCATGGTCATGAAGTTTCCGCTTGATTTGATGTAATTTGTAAATACTAAATCTGCATATTGCAATACATATCTTGACCTATGTATTGTGACCTTCCTGTATTGTTTCACACCTAGTAGGTATCATACTGTATTCGACATCACAAATGCTGGAAATGTTGACAAAATGGGAAAGAGAACTACACATTACTCATGATTCTGTAATGTGAACATTGCTAAATAGAGAATACTACACGAGGTCTCATTACATACGAATTATACGAAATGAGTGTCCTTCCCATGGTATCTGACCGAGCGAAAGTGAGGTCAGAAACCATAGGAAGGTCACGGCGTAAAACTCAACTCACTCACTCACTCACATGTGGGGAATCAACATGAGGAACAGGACCCGGTTGTATCAAACTTTAATAAAGCTTTAATCGTTAATTAAACTATGATTAGTTAATCACTGATTATCTTCAGTTGCATGAAATCCTTAATAAAGGAATCCCTTCATTAATCCATCATTAAGCTAATGAAGGCTTGGGGGTATCATTAACTCATCATTAGCTGTATCAACATGGCAGACAACATAATGTACCATCAACTTCGACGTCGGAGAAAAGAGAAACATTTTCGTGAACGGATTAATTAACCCCACCGGTGCCACAGGGGATATATATGTCCTTCCTCTTTAACACTCACTTTGAAGTTCAATAAAATTCTAAATATATCACATATTTATATACAAATATACTTCACAGTTTTGAATTCTGCATGGAAATTCCTGTTTCTTGATACCATCCACTATTAAATCAGACAAAACTAAAGTGCTTAAAATAACCTTTCAAAATAGACTTCTCCGGTGTCGCCATTTTGACACAATATGTAATCACGATTCACAGTTATTTGCTGTAAGTTTTGAAATGTGAAAATTTGACAATTACTGGGAATATAGAATTTCAAAAATAGCATAGTAATGATCACTGATATCAGTTTTCATAAAATCACTAATGATAATTCTGAAACGCGTTCGATGAACCTAGAATCGCTGTGATGTTTTCGAAAAAATACACTTACACAAACGCCGGAAGCGCGCTTTTCCGCCATATTGGATACTGTTTACAAAATCACGTTTCTCGAAGGCCGGTATTGAGACACCAATTACTATACATCACGTATATTTCATATTCAGCTGCGCAGAAATACATCACTGAATTCCCTATACATTTTGGAATCAAATTACAAATGGTCTTTGTCACCAATACCAACTGTCTAGATGAAATGAAACGAAAGATATTGGGGTGAAACGAACATTGTACTCGAAAGATTGCACTTGTAAACAAAGAAAAAATCCGATTTTACACTGCGTAGCATTTTCTGAATTGTCCGACACCCAGCCATCCATTCTTTGCTTGCAATAGCTCAATATCTTTAGAATATGCATGGAAAGAGTATCGTGCCAAGAAACAGGAAATTAAAACAGATACAATGCAATGATTTGATAATTCATAAGAATTTATCAAGGTTTCCGCAGCTGACGCCATGACTGATGCAAAATAACGCAGAACGACAACGGTAATTATCAGCATTTCTGGCTTCTTCTCTTATTTATCCAATGAAAACTATAAAACATATAACAATACACAGAGAGTCAGAATAATTCTGATTACTTACATCACATATTTATGTACAAATGATCCCTGAATCAAGGGAAGAGTCCTCGCCAAATCCTGTGTACCCTTGTCGCCATTTTGTAAGAAATCGGTCAGCGGTAGTGATGTCATACCTCAACCTTGTTTCACATATTAGACAATTTCTTTGAGGTGAAGGTCGGCTGAACAAGAGTAAACACAATCGCCCTATCCTTCCGATTACACTGTCAGTATTATGATGTGTATTTTGTGTATAGTTCAGATACTTTTTCATGAAACTGACATCAGTATCTACATTTAGTTTTGTTCAATATCATATCATACGTGGATATAGGGTATACATTCCATGTTTTTTGAAAGTTTTTGATTGTTTGAATAATATTTACATAAGAAATTAAAACATTTAGTGTAGTAGACCATATTCTGTCTGAAAACACTTTTTATTTGCATTTTGAAACATGTTCCATTTTGTATTGATTTCTTTGGACGTTCTATTGCTTACCCCGATGCTATTGAGCTCAGACATTATTTTGTCCCATATCTGCTTCTTTTTGTCATTAGTAATGGAGTTTGCTGTTTAACACACTGATATAATCTTCAACTAGGCCTGTATTTCACAACTTTCAAAGTTTTTACTGCGATTTCTGACGGCAGCCATTATGCAGACTATAGATGAGTGTTTACCTGCAATGCATCATGGATAATAATTAGGGGATTCCCCTAAGTTAATCATGGTTTAATGACTGGACCTTTATTAGGGGCATACTTAGTTAATGGGTGTTTAAATAAGGGTTTATACAACCGTATTTAAACACTTCATTAACTAATCAAACATTAAGAATTTAATCAATGATTAGTGTTTAATTGATGATTACATAATTACGCGTTGATACAACTGGGTCCAGATGATTTAAAAATTAGGTTACCCCACTGCCCCAACAATTTATGTCAGACTTTCTTTTTCAATTTCAAAATATGTTATTTTCTGAGTATGTTCTTCATTAATGTTTGCATCAAATTTGTGTCAATCATTTGTTGTATGTGCTCAGATCTCAAGAATGATAATAATCAATTATTTCTGCTTTACTGTGACCAGAAACAGAAACAGCGAAGTGGGACCACTAGACGGAAACATGGAAGAGGAAACAAAGGTCAAGGACAAAGGAACACTCTTCCAAGACTTGGTTTTGAAGGCTGCAACACACCATTTTACTTGATCATACCAAAGGAGCCGTATTATAAAGGCCATGCGTAAGTGCAGCACTGCCAGTAAATTCAGTTTGTGTTTAAGTTCGTTCCTAGTATCATACTGGTTTTACTTGCACAAAGCTCACGTCACTGCTGCGTACATATACTACCGATCAAAAGTTTAGACACACTTAAAGCACTCACTATATGTTATGTACATATACTCCTCACAAAAAATTAAGCAACAAGTGTATTTTTGGTCAGTACATATGCCTTTACTCATGATCATTACAACTGAATCAAACATAACAAAGATAAAGCATATCCACACACTTTTCCAACAAAGAAATCAAAATTCATTGAACAATAACTGACTTGCAAATCATCAAAAACAGTGTCACTGAAAAAGCCGTGCAAAATGTGTTGCATCAGGGTATGAAAATGTCTGAAAACACTTTTACTGTCAGTTTTGAGCACTGATCCAAAGTTTAATAACGTGTATGGCCACCATTGACCTGAATACACGCTTCAAGGCGTCTAGGCATTGACCAGATGAGTCTGTCTAGAGTCTGTTGTGGAATGTTCTGCCATTCTCTCCGCAATGCCTGTTCAAGCTGATCCAGAGTCTGAGGATCTAACGTGGAGGCCGTACACACGCCTTCGAGGATGTCCCAAGCATGTTCAATAGGATTCAGGTCAGGAGACCTTGCAGGCCAGTCCATATGGGTGATGTTGTTGGTCTGAAGAACATCAGTGACAACTCTTGCTCGATGTGGACGGGCATTGTCATCCATGAAGATGAAGTTAGGACCTGCTTGCTGAGCCCACGGAATGATCACAGGTGTGACAATTTCGCCTCGGTACCTCACACCTGTCATGGTACCTCGCCTGATGACCACAAAATCAGTTCGTCGTCCAACTTGGATTCCTGCCCAGATCATCAAACTCCCACCTCCATACTGATCATGTTCAGCAATCGTACAGTTGGCGATCGATCGTTCGATACGGTTTCTCCACACACGCAGCCCTACCATCATTGAAGTCCAGACAGAATCTTGACTCATCTGTGAAGAGAACATTACGCCAGCCGCATTGACTCTCCAGTTACGCCGCTGGTTAGCCCAATTCAGTCTCTGTTGACGATGGTGTGCAGGCAGTGGGATACGTTGCACTGGTCTTCGACCTGAGACCTTCAGCATGGAGTCTGTTCCTCACTGTCTGTGTGGAGATTCTGTTCCCAGCAACTCTCTGGAGGTCATTCTGGAGAGATCTGGCTGTGGTGAACCTGTTCCGCCGGGCTAGGGTGGCCAAGTATCGGTCCTCTCTGGGAGTTGTCACTTTGGATCGACCTGAGCGTGGTCTCTCTCAGTCATCAATCCGGGTCTGTTGGTGACGAAAGTGATCGCTCTGGAGATGACGCCGATGAACATTGAAATGGTTGGCAACAGCACTCTGGGTCTGACCCTGCACCATTCCAACAATTTGAGCAACTTCAATTGGTGTCAAGTGACGCCAGCCATTTCTCAAATGTTACTGTCAACAATTTGTCGTTGCTGGCAGTTTTAACGAATCAGAATGCATGTGCGACGGTATAGCACATGTTTTCCATGCATTTTGCATGTGAGTTTTGAGGGTGGTTATGCTCTCAGCGGTGCTAACAATGTTATCAGAAAAACAATATGGGAAATGCTTTAAGTTCATCAATCGTAAAGGGTTCTCCTGCATGGCTTATATGCCAAGTAATAACTTCATATACCCATGAAGAAAATATGTGGAAAAAAATACTTGTTGCTTAACTTTTTGTGAGGAGTATATATATAACTGCAAACCTTATGCAGATGAATTGCACGAGGATCATGCATGTTTTCTGAACAGTAGGTGCAAATATCGTGCATGTGAAAACCTGCGTTTTGGTGTAAAGTTTTGTTAAGAATTCGCCAATTTTCACTGAGTTTCATGATTTTTTGAACTCATGAAAATAATCTTTTCAACGTAACAAATTTGTTATGCAATACATCAGTTCATGTGTAAACTAGTGGTGGTCCGATTAATTGAACTAATCGAAGATTGGTCGCAGTGACTAAACGACCAAGCAATTGATCATGTTTTCTCATAATCGAACACAAACATTTTTGGAACACTTTTTGCATTAACAATATTTTTCACAAGGTTGGTTTTGTCTGTTACATTTTATGAGCACTACAAGCTCGTTCCAAGTCATGTTTGAATATATCTTAAAGACCCCAAGAAATCTGTTCCTAACATATTAGTCATCCTTTAAAGATGTGCAATTTGCAAAAAAACCACCCAAGCACTACACAATTTTTTCTTTGTTTTTGTGCAAACAAATATAACCTGGAATTTTTTAGAAATGACGCTGACCAAATATTTTTGATGATTGATTGGTTGTAATGAACCAATCATCAATTATGAGATTTTAACCAATTCCCAACACTACTGGGAACCCCATGTTTGTAAGTCGAGGTAAAACCCAGACTTGCACATGATGCCCTGTGAGATTTATGGTTTGTAAATGTCCTAAGCAACCAATGCATTTCCCAAGGGGCATTTAACATTTAATGGATCAGGAAATCAGTCTGTGGCTTGACTGGTTGTAATGGTACCTGACAGCATTGGACACTGCTCTTTACATCAATCATTAGTTTGTCTGGTTTGATTATTTTGTAGGCTGCCATGGCAACACTGCTTATAGCTAGATTATTATGATTAAAGAAATTTAAAGTGTATTTCAGTACATCTTTTGAGGCAACATGTCCTTCACTAAGGCTTCAGGTGGAGTTGCCTCCTTAATCAAATATTGTTGACACTACAACAATAATATGAAAGGGATTAACTCAACCAGTTGTAAGATCCTTATGTTTAACACATTTTTAGGAAGCCACCAACACACATCAATATTTCAGTTGGTGTATGGCAGTAAATATTCCACAGATGGATCATACAAAATATGTGGAGGAAACAGTTAAATTATATGTGACATACCATCAGTACATGATACACTCTCCGCTTCCAAGATCCTTGTGGTTTCAGATCAAATACCAGATTTATGCTGTTTGTTTGTTTGTTGTTTAACACCACTCTCGGCAATATTCCAGCTATATGGCAGCGGCCTGTAAATAATCAAGTCTGGACCAGGCAATCCAGTGATCAATAGCATGAGCATCGATCTGCTTATTGGGAACCAATGCAAGTGTCAACCAAGCCAGCGAGCCTGACCACTCGATCCCGTTAGCCGCCTCTTACGACAAGCATGGGTTACTGAAGACCAATTCTAACCGGATCTTCTATCAGATCCTGGCCCAACTAAGGTCGAAAGTGGACAGCGTATTCCGGCACTGTAAAATACCGGACAACCTGTGCTACAACAGTTTCTTTTACCTGGGTGCTGTTGTAACAAAGTGATCTTTGCACTAAAGTGACAAGAACTCCCATACCTTAACATAGACTTAAGGTAATTGTAGACCTAAGGTTGTTTTGTACAACGGCACCCAGACCTGGTCATGTATTTCCACTTATCATGCTGATGTGTTTCAGGGAGAGGAGACAGTATCCTCCATTATCCTTACTTCAGCTTCAGAGGATGATCGATGTGGGTCGAGTTGACCCAAAGCAGCCAGTTGATCTTGCTACTGTATGCAACACCAGGCTGTATCGTATCGATCCTGCCAAGAAACACTTTGGGATCAACTTGACAGAGGAGGTGAGGTTAAGGGGAAGGAAGTCAGTGTGAACCCTCTGATTTTGAATTGATTCTCAAGTGTTCTCAGGGGTTTTATAGCAGTTGAATTTTAAAATTTGTCTTGACCAAGATGATGTGCCATTTAATTTGCTGATCTCCTCTGGAGTAAATTAACTCAAAGAAATGTTTTTTCATATTGATGTTTTAGTTAAAAGCTTTGATGAAAACAGTTTATGTTTAACCAATGTTAAGCCAGTAACAATGGAGTTGTCTCCCTTCCATGGAGTGAGAAACTCCCTTAGAAAGCTATTGAAAAATATCCATGAATTGGTAACAAATTCGTGAGAGCTAATGTGAAGTGTATTACGTTTAATTTGCATATTTACGGAAATGTAATAAAATATTTCATTTGCTTGGTTTTGAATTTTGAGAAGCGAGCATTTAAAGATGTTGAAAATGCCTTGAAGTGAGTGACTGAAATTCTGTATGAACCCTGTAATTTCATAGAGGGCCTGGTGTAGTTTAGTGGTCAAAGTATTGGCACGTTGTGCTGAAGAGGACGGTTTGATCCCCTTCCTAGGTGAAATGTTAGAAAGCTGTGTCTGGTGTACGGTAGATTACTGCTAAAAACTATCACTAATAGAGTGTGGTCAAGTTCTACTCAGTTGTGTTAATTAGACATGAGTAACTAATCGAACACATCAAGACAGTTGCCACACACAACATCTTTGTTCATGGTGAATACATGAAGGCTGAAATGACCCATTGCACATTGTGTGTGCAAGTTTGTTCATACCATCTCCACTTACTAATATGTGAAATGTTGTTATATGATGGTTTTAAATGGTTCTTTGTGGAAGTAGTCTACTCTGCTCTAATAAGCCATAGCTGTTTGATTGGATAAATGTACGGTTATATTAAGGTATAGCTGAAAGACATCTCCTTTAAATCTCTGAGAATCCATTTTTTCACTGGAGGGAACTCATAAATATTAAGTCTCACTTTTGGCAAGAGCCCAGCGGTTGCATAAATTTGGAGGCGCATTAATTTCAAGACTTATAGTAGTATGCAGTTAAGGTTTTAGGGCCACAGTCTAAGAAAATGTTATCATCTATGTAGATGCTACTTTCATCTATGTAGATGATACTAACATTTACGTTGACTCGTGAAGATCTGGGTGAGAGGCAAGTAACGGGATCGGGTGGTCAGACTTGCTGACTTGGTTGACACATGTCATGGTATCCCAAGTGTGTAAACGGATGCTGATGCTGTTGATCACTGGATTGTCTGGTCCAGACTTGATTATTTACAGACCGCTGCCATATAGCTGTAATATATCGGACTGTGGTGTTAAACAACCAAACCAACATGAATATACTTTCCTCTACTTAGATGATACTAACATCATAGTTAGTAACTTTATGCTTCCTTCTTTGTAAACAGGGTGCAGATATCTTTGCTACCAGGATCAACATTGAAGTGCAATGGGCATCTGAGCTGGTTATTGCAGCCATTGAAAGGAACGGAGGTGCGATCACAACCCGCTACTTTGACCCACAATGTCTCCATGCTCTGGCCAACCCTTTGAAATTCTTCCAAAAAAGTGTTCCAATACCTCGATGCAAACTGCCTCCAGAAGATGCACTGGAGTACTATACAAGTGCCGAATCACGAGGATATCTTGCAGATCCTGAACTAGTTAAGCAGGCTAGACTTGAGCTGGCTCAGAAATACGGCTACGAACTCCCTGATGTGAGCTCAGATCCTTTGTTTGATATGCTGAGTCTGAGGAAGGATCCTCGGCAGATATTTCACGGCCTTGAACCAGGCTGGGTGGTGAACCTGAAACATAGACAGATTCTGAAACCCAAGGATGAGGAGTATGAAGCGTTTTATAAGTCGTAGCTGGACTTGTTGTGTGACTAGCATTCTTGTATGGATGGAGAAAGATAAATGAATAAATAAGTTGATGTGATTAATGCTATGCTCTGAAGTGTTTGTTCATTAATTTGATTGGATTAAGAAATCAGGCAACTTCTGTTGTTGTATGAATTAGTGGTGGTCCGATTAATTGAAATAATCGAAGATTGGTCGCAGTGACTAAACGACCAAGCAATCGATCATGTTTTCTCATAATCGAACACAAACAATTCTAGAACACTTGTTTTCATTAACAGTATTTTTCACAAGGTTGGTTTTGTCTGTTACATTTCATAAGAACTACAAGCTCGTTCCAAGTCATGATTGAATTTATCTTAAAGACTCTTAAGAAATTTATGTTCCTCCATACTAGTCATCCTTTAAAGATGTGAAAATTTGCCAAAAAACCCCCAAAGAATTACATGGTGTTTTTCCTTATTTTTGTGTGCATTAACACATTTCATATATGATGCTAACCAATTATTTTCGATGATTGATCGGTTGTAATGAACCAACCATCAATTATGAGATTTTCACCAATTCCCAACACTAGTATGAATGCCATGTTTTAGTTTTCAAATAATTTGTAGTTTAACAGTTTGGGTTTTCAAGCAGTGTTGTACTCTTTTAACAGTCCTTGAAGTTCAAGTTGATCAACAACTAAATATGAATGGATCTTGAGTATTTGGTAGTTGGATAAGACTCAGATCACACAGGCCAAATTTGTTAAGTGGCAATATTTTTCAATCATGTGCTGGTAGATATTTATAAAACAATGACTGTCAGTGACTGTCCTTTGGCAATGGCCAATACATTTATGCAAAATTGAGCCCAGATAGTGCTTAAGAAATCATAAAGCTTTAGAACCAATAACAATAAAGAAGACAGTGTTCATAAGTCTGGTTGCTGAAGGATTAGAAAGCCATGACTCTGTTAGCAGACCGCAGCCATATAGCTGGAATATTGTTGACTGTGGCGTAAAACAACCCATTCACCCACTTTGGTATTTGGACCGCCTCCGTGGTGTAGTGGTTAGAGTGTCCGCCCGGAGAGCGCAAGGTCGCGGGTTCGATCCCTGGCCGTGTCATACCAAAGGACATTAAAATATGGTACTTGTTGGCCTATGCCTGGCGTTCGGCATTAATGGGTACAACAAGGACTGGTCGGCTCGGAGTCAGGATAAAGTGTCTGAGTGGGGTATTCATGCTTCACTGCAGCATGGTATCTCAGTGGGCTAGCACTATAAAACCAGCTTAAGTCTGGGCTACTACAAGCAGCCACACCTTCACACACATTTGAGTGAAATATTCTCAAGTATGACGTTAAACCCCATTTCACCTCAGCTCACTAAGGTATTTGACATACGCCACCAGTCCAGAATGAACTGTGAACTATTGAGGTGTAATGATAGGATGACTGTGTTATGGTGCACATCCTGGCAATATGTGTGAAATAGAGTTTGTATCTTGATATAGTACCTTTGTTTCATACATTCATATTCTCTCCCTTTCTACAGTTGAATCACAGAATAATTTGTGTTTCATGCCAGACAACTATGATGGAATATTGCAGTGGAGAAGAATATAAGCTTTAAGGCATTGTGAAGATTCTGCTCTGTATAGCAATACAATGCTATATTGTTGCATCCTCCACCAGTGTACAAGTTGGGTTTCACCAGTGATGCCTAGCCATGGTTGCCCTTGTAAGGCAACTTGTTTATATGACCTGGCTTACATCAAGTTACCCAAAATTTCCCCACCGTGGAGTTAAATGCTTATTTGGAGGAGAGCCTTTTTTATCTTAGTACTCAATCTATTTACTAATCTTAGGTGAAACGTTTTTTTAATTATGAATTTTGAATCCTGATGCCCCTACAAAATTGAAATGTTCCCAAAATTTGAAAAGCGTTTATAATTTTGCCATTTGCCTACTCAGTTTATCACTAAAATGTCATGCAAATATTAGTTTTAACTTTGAATCATTAGATGGCATTAGATATGACATAATAGTCTGACCTTTGGAGATGTTTCCTCCTCCAGCCAGCCAGGATTGTCCAGAAAAATTCTCTTAACCCAGGATTAATTATAAGAATAATTTAACTCTGTAGGCCAGAGAGTAATACCTATTCCTTTCAATACTTTAAAATGATCAACTTAATCAATGTTTTCCAAAGTTTATTTTTATTTGACATGACTATAAAGATTGAACCGAATAATGAATAGGGTCATAACTATCATGCATATTGATAGACCTTGCCAAATTCAGAATGTTGACGTTTCAATATTATGTAACCATAGGTCTCTGTAATTAACAGTCATAGACCTGATACTGGTTTCTGAATGATCAGTGTGTTTCTTTACGAAGAAGAGGTCAGAAGTGACTTTTAAATGATCAAATTAAACTTAAGATTTGTTTTGGATGACAGACATTGTAGCTGTTCATGAGCAACTGCAAAATGTGAATGTTATGTCTGAAAACAGAAAGATCAGCAGTTAGTGTGGAGATAAAAGCTTAGATGATCAGTTTTAATCTGCAAGAAGGGTTCTGGGGGACAGGTTTTAGAAATATATGAACTTTGACCAACAGCAAATTTGTTACAAATGAAATAGCCAAAACTTGTTAACAACCCACTCCAGAGCATAATTAAAAATCAACAATTTTTAAAGATTTTTCTTAGACGCACTGCATTGTATAAGGATATTTAGGTAGTGCAGATATTCAGTTAAAATATTCTGTGTGTTAAAAGTCATAATTCTCTTAAAATTACGCATGCAAATTGCTTTTCCCAATCGTGGAATGGATCCACAAACATATTTAACCAATTTCTCTTGAAGGGTGAGCTGCTTAATAGAAGGTAAAGAAAGTTGATTTTGGTAAGATAACACCGATTATTTTTTGTCCAAATAAACGAAGCGTACGTAAAATATAGAATATGTTTACTCTGGGCCCTCTCAAATCACGGTCTATCATCACATGAAGCAGCGAATTGACGGATGTAACGAACACTTTTTTATTTATGACGAACCACTGTTATAGCGAACTAAAATGAGTGGTCCCTTTGAGTTGGTTATAACTACTAGAATAGATCTGTATCATAATCATAGGGTCGGTGGGATAGCCTAGTGGTTAATTCTCCACATGGGTACAATATGTGACGCCCATTTCTGGTGTCCCCCGCCGTGATATTTCTGGAATATTGCTAAAAGCGTCGTAAAACTAAATTCACTCTCATAATCATAATTATAAGCTCTCCGAGTCTGTTTGAGAACAAAATATGAATTATCGTGATAGGTCCAGAATACAGTAGATTTTCAGTTGTGAAAGAGTGAGTAAAGTTTTACGCCGCTTTTATCAATATTCGAGAAATATCGGGGTGTGAGTTGGAGCACATGATGTTAACGCATTCTATTCATACCGGGTCTTCGGCGAGACGAGCGAACACTTTAATCGCTTGGCTTCCCAGCGCAACTAGTAACAACAGCTGGATTGGCTGGTGCCAATGTAAGACCCAGCTTATTCAGTGTATAGCCGCTCATGCTGGCAGACACTTTAGCGTTCCCTTTTCATCTGTGAACTCAAACAGGTGTAACCGAAACACCTCATAACATTCAGCATATACTGTTTCTCGTTTAACGTCTTAATATGCGGTATTATGTGAAAGTATTCGACACGAAGACCCTACCAATGTTTTTGAACCAGATCCATTCTTTTGTTTATGGGGCGGTGGGGTAGCCTAGTGGTTAAGCGTTTTATCTTCACGCCGAAGACCCGAGTTCGATTCCCCACATGATGACAATGTGTGAAGCCCATTTCTGGTGCCCCCTGCCGTGATATTGGTGGAATATCGCTAAAAGCGGCGTAAAACTAAACTCACTCACTCATTCTTCTGTTTAAGTTATTTATCAATTCAAATTTGCGTGAACGGCAAATAAATAGCAAGGTATCGCTAATCAAAACAGCTTCAGCTATCTCTGTTTTTACTATTATACTTTATATGGAGTACAGAAGCAATAGTGTGATTTATTTCTGGTACCAGGCAGTGTTCTGTCGCGGCAGGCATCCTCACCATATCATCAGAATACCAGAGCCGCGTGAATCAAATGGTATTCGATAGTGAACAAATACAAACAAGTGTGAAAATCAAATTATGAAATCATTTATATAAAATACTAACGATAAACTTCATTTTCAAGCAAACCGGTTCAAGCAGTCCTGTACTGATGCCAAACCTCTGAACCACTAATTCAGTTTGTATCAAGTATTGTTTTTGCTGAGAATAAAATATTGGAACTGCCTTGGTATAATATAACGCTTTCTTACCGAGTATCTCTTATAAAGACTTGGAGATCAAGTGACATTGGGAGGAGGTCAGGTAAAAAGCGTACAGGGCACGGTGGCATATTTGACTTAATTCAAAAGAATGATTTACAATGATCCAAGAAAGAAATATCACCGAAAAGATACTATACTCCTCACAAAAAGTTAAGCAACAAGTATTTTTTTCCACATATTTTCTTCATGGGTATATGAAGTTATTACTTGGCATATAAGCCATGCAGGAGAACCCTTTACGATTGATGAACTTAAAGCATTTCCCATATTGTTTTTCTGATAACATTGTTAGCACCGCCTGAACGCAACCACCCTCAAAACTCACATGCAAAATGCATGGAAAACATGTGCTATACACGTCGCACATGCGTTCTGATTGCGTTAAAACTGCCAGCAACGACAAATTGTTGACAGTAACATTTGAGAAATGGCTAGGCGTCACTTGACACCAATTGAAGTTGCTCAAATTGTTGGAATGGTGCAGGGGGGGTCAGACCCAGAGTGCTGTTGCCAACCATTTCAATGTTCATCGAAGCGTCATCTCCAGAGCGATCACTCGTCACCAACAGACCGGATTGATGACTGAGAGACCACGCTCAGGTCGTCCAAGGGTGACAACTCCCAGAGAGGACCGATACTTGGCCACCCTAGCCCGGCGGAACAGGTTCACCACAGCCAGATCTCTCCAGAATGACCTCCAGAGAGTTGTTGGGAACAGAATCTCCACACAGA